AAAACCTTGAACATGACCTCACTCGGTCTCTTGTCCCAGACTGCATACTATTCCTCAAACTCACATGTATCTGAATGCGTTTTAACAGAGATAAGGTGGCGTCAGCTTCCAGAAAATCCCTCGCTTGGTCAAATGGAAAGTTTGACTTTGGTTTACTGGATGGATTCTGGCCCCGCAGAAGTTTTTCTACAACAGTCATCGAGCGAAGCTGTTTACTTTAATTGAGCTGAGTTTTCATGGGTAATTCAGAAAGAACGACTTGTTGTATTCTGTGGAGCTCTGCTGCCAACATGTCTGCTTTTCTTTATAATGAAAACAGTCAGGACCCGGGGTGACAGGGAGGTTTGATCCAACACCTCAGCAGTACAACAGAGGGGTACCAGCGCTTTTCTTTCTTGGGGATAAAGGAGGAAGTGATAAGAGGAAATGTGGAGGGACGGGTTTCGGGAGGACACCAACAGAGGAAGAATGGTGCGTTTTAAAGTGGAACACAATGGAGATTTGTTTTTGTAATTATAGCTCGGTTTGAGTGGACGATGGGGTCGAGGCCAAACAATAGATCCAGGAAAGATACGGACCGTAACGGTTTTGGGTTTGTCGGTCATTATACTTGGACGAGATGGGGGTGGGGTGGGGGCAGTGGACTGGACGGGAGGATCCAGCTGCTGTTTGTGAACACCCAGGGCACTATAAATCTGAGTCCAGGGCAGGTGTGGGTGAGCAGGAAGAGAGGAGGCCACCGCGGCCCCGACGCTGCCCCCAAACCTCCAGACCTCCCGTCGGTCGTCTTCAACCTACAGTCCCGACAGGCAGGGAGGCAGCCGGGCATCACTCACTCACAGAGAAATAATGAACTCAGTCACACAGATACTGTGTCCGTATATTATCCTAAAAGCCCCATTATCTGAGGCAGCTGCCGTTCGTAGCTCTGCGCTGAATCACCGGCTTTCAAAGCTCAAGAGCGAGTCGCCAAAAGAGACACTAATTATGATGTGTGGTCCCCGTGTCGTGAGGGACGGCCGCCTCAGCTGGCTGCAGGACAGGCGGATGGCAATCGATAGAAAATCATCTCCTCGCTGCACATAAAAACGATAATACGGTGGGAATGTCTGGCTAATGGTTAATCAGAGAGGACAGAGCTGGCTGCGCACCAGCTCGACAACAGGTGGAGTAAAATATAGTTTATTTGATTCGTCCTGGTGTTTAGCAGCTGGATCACTCCTGTCGTTTTCTCTTGTGATTTACAAGGAAATTCTGGATGTTTTTTTTTTTTTTGTGGCCATAAAAACCATTGCATGTTTGATCTGAATTGATTCAACATGTTTTCACTTCACTTGTTGGGTTCACGAGACGCTACGATCACTCACTTTAATGTATCGTCTGTTTCTCAAGCCTGGATTTTCAACAGAGCAACTGTCGCCCAAAACTCCCACGTTCACTGCAAATTAACTGGTTTTTGGTGCTTTGATTAATTTAGCATTTGATTGGGAGTTTGCACCACTAATACACAATATCAGGTTTTTTCTTTGGTCACCTGGGGGCAGCAGAAACAAGCTGTGAGCACGACATTTTGCAAGAAGCTGAAACTCTCCATAGAGCCAGATGGAATTACCCCCTTTTACATTAGACAGACATCCTGTGTTGGTTTGGGCAAAACCAATCCACAATTTAATATCTTTTTTTATTAATTCAAGATATTATTATTATGTTATTTCAAGATAACAAGATATTATCAGGAGAAAACAATATTTTGTTAATAATAATGATATGATTGATAATAAAAAAACAGACCAAATATCATGATAAAGGATATTATCACAGGAGGGGTTTTGTTTTGGTTTTTATAATACATTATTTTATTTTATATTTTTTCTATATTTTTATGTTTGCTGTGTTTTTTAATCATTTAAAATTAAATTATTGCATTATAAGTTTTAGGTATTAGTGATGCTGCCACTAAACAGAAGTTATATTTGCAAAAATATTTTTAGAAAAATCGCATATTGCAGGAAATATCATGACATTTGATATGATCATATATCAGCCTATAAATCTAAATCTGTGGCGCGTTCTAGTGTAAAAATCTGCGCACATGGTGCAGAAACCTGGGGCCAGGTGGTGTTACTCCATCACAGCAGCACTGAAGCTGCCATGTGAAATCTGCTGTATGACCTGCACGCAATGGGAACTTGAGGCCACGGGGCACATTGGGGGGGGGGGCAGTTACTCCGACTACTCCTCTACTGATCCTTCATCCTGTCTTCTTGGTTTCATCCTGTTAAATGACAGACTCAGGCTCTGTCCTGAACGAGTGTGTAACACCTACGACCAGCAGCTGACGATGCCGACAGTGACACCAGCAGCAGAGATGGGGATAGCAGCGGTACGGCTGGCAGGGCTGGAGGTGCTGATGGGTGCTGGCTGTAGGAGGCAGCCCGGGCCGTCTGCTGTGTAAACCCTGCAGCACATGTTCGACAGGCCAGCGAAACATCTCGGGGAGTATTTATTTTAACAGGCCAAATGATACTTCTATTTCTCTCAGGAGGAATGTTAAGGTTAAATGATTCTCCTTAGAAAGAAAAATACAGGGGTTGGAATTTTTTGGGGGGGTGGGATGTGGTGGAAGACGGAGGGATGGGGGGGGGTGTATGAAGGTTTCAAGTGAACTTGATGTGTTCTGTGATTTCAGTTGAAATGAGGGAAAAGTGTAGTTGAGTCAAACAGTGAAGGAGATGGATGTTAGAGAGGGAGCTCTGCAGGAATGTGAAGTTTAGTTCATTTGTTCTGCTTTAACTCACTGCAGCTCAGAGGGGCAGTTACTGAGGGCACGAGGCTACTGGCTCCACGTCCACCCAGGGGTGGAGCACAAAAACCTGGACCCTGAACATAAAGTATATCTGTTTCCTTTTCATGCATTAATCAGGGCCATACACGAGGAAATCATCTCTGTATTTCATAATGAAAACAGGCAAAGAAGACTTCAGTGGAATAATGTTTTATTGGCAGAATGATGATGAATTAAATTCTAACAGGAACCAGCCCAGAATGTTTCGACATAAAGATCATCACTCATAAAACTTCCTGAACTTCAGGATCAATCGGAATATTTGCAAAACAGGCAGCATCAGTATTAAAACTGAAAATAATTAATAATTAAGAGAAATAATAAAGTTGTTTCCTGGTGCTAAATAAACCTTTATGTATAAAACAGGTTTATGGTAAAAAAAAAAAAAAAAGAAAGAAAAAGTTTATGTATAAAACTGATCAAAAACAAGCATCTTAAAACTAATGTTATATAATACTATAACACTATATAATAATGTTGTTTTACATTCAAGAAAAATAGTTTGAAAAGGAAAAATGTCAAAACGTCAGATGAACACAATCTTTAACTTGAAGACTCTCTGGGGGCCTCCTCGAGTCGGGCCCCTGGGTCACTGTTCCCCTCACTACCACACCCGTGCATCCACCCGCCATGTGCAAACATACTGAAGACGCATATAGACGAGACATCGCTGTCTCATTTAGGTTCTAACTTAACCTGGTTTCAACAGATAAATAATGATATTTAACAATTAAATAACCCGGAAGTTTTTATTTTACATTTCAGTGAAACAACACAAATGCAAAACATGACTGAAACATGTCAGCTACTGTGGGTTAGCATAATCTGCTCATGCTAAACTGCAGGAACAGAAACACATATTTCTCCATGTTTGCCAAACTGAACTAAATGAAATGAGACCCAAAGTACAGGCAGGTAACTTCTGGTGTTTTAACCCCTCCAAAATGTCCTTTTTATAAGTTATTCTACCCTTTGTGATACTACAGAGACTTCCTGTTTGCATTTACATTTCTTTTTATTGGACAGTGCGACAGATGTTTCCTAATAAATCAAGCTTACGAGCTTGGGAAGGACCTGGTAACGAGTAGCTGGTGCAAACCAATCCAGCAGTCGAGCTGCCCAAGACAAACTTCTGGACACACATACATTTACAGACACGGACTATAGGTTAACAATCATAATAATTCAACAAAAATAAAAACCTCCCTCATTACGCTCCCTCCTCACTCCCTGACCCCGCGTGTACACACACCTCGGCCTAATTCACAACACATTGCCTGTTAGAGAACCTCCGTGGGCCAGCTCCGAGCTCCCTCCTAACACGAACCCTGTCGTCAGGAGGACAATAAAACTATGAAGCTGGAGAAAGGAAAAAGAAAAACTGACATAAATACATGTTAAAATATTCTGCGGGGCTGGCAGAGGGCTTGTTGGGAGAGCGATTAGTTTTAATGAAAAAGTGGTTGGTGTGGAGAGGAAGGGGCCTGGCTGCAGGCTGTTTGTGCTCGGCTTAAGTTTCTGCTCTGTAATAAAAGCACCAGGACTTATGTGTCTACATGTGTGTGTGTGCAGTGTGTGGGTGTACAGGGGCAACCGTGGACTAAAGGAGACAAAGTGAGCAGCCAAGTCTGGAGACACACACACACACACACACACACACACACACACACACACACACACACACACACATGCATCAAACAGTCAATCACTAAAACTGGTAGAAATATCTGTGGGAATTTGTGTGGAGGTAGTTTCATCCACTGAAGGAGAGTGTGTGATCTCTTCTACAGGATCTACAGTCGTTACCTTGGACGCACAAATGACTAATAGACAAAACACACACAATATTGTTTTTATCTCTTCATGTTTCCACTGATGACTTCCTGTTTGTCTTCTCCTTCCAGACTGCGGTGGGTCCAGACAGCAGGTGATGGAGCGGCCCGACGAGCCGACCCTCCTGCTACCTCTCCCCCCCGCAGCTCGCCGTCCTTGAGCCTCCGCTGTACTGACAGAGACGAAGACGCTGTCCTCTCCGTGAGAGCCTCAAACGCAACTGAGGTGAGAGACTGTGAGAGACGGAAACCCAGGCGGTAACAGAGACGACGCGACGAGTCGGACGACCCAGAGGATCGAGCCTCAGGGCGGCCCGATCATCATGAAACCTTCAGTCTCCGTGGGCCCCCCCTCTGGCCTGCTGCTGGTCCTGATGTGCTGCCCCCTGCTGGGCCTGGTCCAGTCTGCCAGCAGCAACAAGGCCAGCGACAACGCACACCCGCACCTGGGAGACTCCGACCCCGAGCGGTGCATGAGGCACCACTTTGTGGAGACCATCACACACCCGATTTATAAGTGCAACTCCAAGGTAAGGAAGCCACACACGTGCGCGCGCACACACACACACACACTCTTATGGTCACCCACTCATATTTGCTTGTTCAAGGTAACACGGCCAGTTCTGTCTGATAAATGAACTCATTCATTACAGATATCAGACAAACAGCTCCATCAAAAAGCATAGAAACCCCCCAAACACCGGCCAAAAACACTCCCCCAACACCAACTGAAGACTCATTTATCTCACACACATTTCTCTCCTACTACTGTCATTGCCCCTCCTCCACTTGGTCCGTCCACTATCTCCTTCTCCCTCTTTATCTCCATCACTCGTCATTTAGATGAGTCACGCTTCGTTTCTCAGGGACTGTGTTTATGTATATATGTATGTGTGTGTGTGTGTGTGTGTGTGTGTGTGTGTGTGTGTGTGTGTGAAGCTGGACATGGGCCATGCTGCAGACATATTCTGCACCTCAGCTGGGACTCAGTTTTGGCTGAAGTGGACCTCTCCCTGTCATCCTGCTCTCTGCTGCCTCTGCCAGGGGCTGAGGAGAGAGAGAGAGAGAGAGAGAGAGAGAGACAGAGATGGGCTGAAGACAGAACAAGACAAGTGGAGAGTTAGCTAATGACGTGGAGCTCGTTCTGTCTCTATCCGAAGTGTCAGACGACTGAGGCCGAGCCACTTTCCGCACAGAGACTGATGATCCAGTGCGTCGTGCCAAACATGTGAGAGGAGCTGTCGCTGTTCTCACTTCCCTTTTGTTGTTGTGCAGCGGTGCAGTCGTTGTTGTAGCGTGAGCCATCACTTCTTTGGTCTTTTTTTTTTATATTCTGTCTCTGAGCGCGAGGAGCAGGTGTCCAAACCGCAGCTCAGCTGAGGCGAGGCTGAACACGCTCACAGCGGGAGCCGGGCTTCCTGTTACAGAACACGGAGAACTGACAGGAAGCCTGAAGGCCGAGCAGCTGGTTTACACCTCAGGCCGCACAGGTTCCCTCAGTATCCACCTGCACAGGGACTCGCTCACTCTGTGTGTGTGTGTGTGTGTGTGTGTGTTGAGGTAGGAGGTACAGAGTGTGGCTCTGGAGTTTTTCTCCCCCATTTTAAAGTTGATTTTACAAGGACACAAAGTTCAGTTTCCATCCAAAATGGATCTAAAATTTTCACCAATTTCTGAGAAAATCAGCAAAAGAAAATATTAGAGTTGGTTTGTTGATACAGAAAGTTTGTGTCTTTATAGCTCCTCCAGTGTAAAGGTCTGTGTCCATGTGTAGTGTGATTATAGATCAGCTCTAGCTTCTATATTAATACTGTGAAAGTATCAAAGCCTCAGTCCACAGAGAAATGCACACAGCCTGTATTCAGAAACTGAGCCTTAAAACCAGCCGTCAGGACTTCTGGAACTTTGTGATGTCACAACAAAGCAGTCACCAAGCCCCGCCCACCTGGACCCACCATCCAAACCTTGCAGGATTTGGTTTCTCTGAGTGTTTTTACCTGAAATCTGCTATATTTTTATTGGATCACTCAGAAAACAGTCAGCCAATCAGAAGAGAGGCTCAGAGCCTCCTCTCTTCTGATTGGCTCACCGACCTGTTGTTACTAGAGCTCCAGAGAGAAGCCTGAGAGAGGAGATGTAAAACTACACTGAGATGGTTTTTATATCTTCTGATGGATCAACACTTCAAATAAAACACAGAAGAAGAAACATGGAGCTTTAAATTACTGCAGAAGAAGATGGTTTATTAAAAGACACAGGCTTCATGTACGTCGTGATTTGTTTCCATTGCACTTTGCCACATTTTCTTTTTATTGATACACAAAAACCTTGTTTGCAATATTTTCTTCTCTTTTTTCTCTTTTTTGAAAATGTATAAAAGCAGGTGGATGGAAGCTCAGTTTGTAAAGTCGTCTGTGGTTGTGAAGGAAGAAAAACCTCAGGGCTGTCATCAGAGTATCTCAGTTTGAGCTTGAGACTTAATTTGTGCGTTGATTACCCCCTGGAGGGAGGGGTGGAGGGAAGTGGGAATGTAGATGGGAAGAGGTCTAATGAAAGATGTTATCACTTTGCATTATGGGATTCTTTGGCCACTAATGATTCAGTTTTGACAGTTCTGGGTTTTTGACAGAAATCTTTCAGCATCAGCAGATGGAGTTTGTTGAGCTGACACACAGAGAGATGTGTAAAGTTATCTGCAGCACTGATATGGACAATGATGCGTTATTAGATGATGAACTGTTCTCATGTCTAAAGCTTTAAGCCCAGGTATGAACAGGTTATCCCTCATGCTAACTGATACAGAAAACCTGTTGGACTCAGAGGTTTCAGTCTGGGGAACAGTTTTATGTTGAGTACATGGATGTTGTTCACCACAGTCATTTATTTATTTATTCATTTATTTTACTTTAATCCAACCAGGACTAGAAGGAGGAGGGGGGGTGCGGGAGGAGTGAGGAGGAGGCAGGAGCGAGACGGGGGGGTACCTGAGACGGATGCGCCAGGTGTCACGAGAGGAGGAATTGTTGCTGTTTGACAGTCTGGTCCTCGACTCGGACAAAGACAAATGGTCTTAAAGTGGCGACAACACTCCTGAGTACACGGGTGGCGACACACAGCAGCTGACAGAAAGACATGACACAGGAGTCTGTTTAGGGAGGTGGCGGGAATGTAGTGACCCACAGAGGAATGCCAGGCGGACGCTCACGACACTAATAAGGCCAGCGTTTCGTGTGTGCGTGTGCATGTGCGCGTGCGTGCGTGCGTGTGTGTGTGTGTGACCCTGAGCTCTGAGCTGCAGCAGGTGTAGGAATGTGTGACTGCTCTTGTTGCTATCTCTCAGTTTGCAGGTGCAAGGCCGAGGCTGCGAGACGTCGGAGACACGGCGGGAGTCCAGACAGACGGGACTCGAACACTGCCTCATTGTACCCGGAGACCCCGTTCCTCATCCCTGAAGGTCGAGGAAAACAAAATGCGTGAATGACTTATCTGTGCTTTCTTACGCTCTGCTTTCCAGATGGTGCTGCTGGCGCGCTGCGAGGGTCACTGCAGCCACACCACCCGCTCCGACCCGCTCATCTCCTTCAGCTCCGTGCTCAAGCAGCCCTTCAAGAGCACCTGCTCCTGCTGCCGGCCACACACCTCCAAGCTGAAGGCGGTGAGGCTGCGCTGCGCCGGCGGGACCCGCATCACGGCCACTTACAGATACATCCTCGCCTGCAACTGTGAGGAATGCAGCTGAGCGGCGAGCGGCCCCCTCCCACACCCTCCAGACTCTCAAGACCCAGCGTTTTCCTTGGCCCCGGGCCCTTAATCTAAAGCTATCCAGAGCGTTTCGGTTGATTGTTGGATCAGATAATTGCCCCAGAGGACAGCAGCTCAAGATGCTTGTTGTTATCTTGGCAGTGACAGTTTGGAGCGATCGTACCACCCTCACACTGGCCTGAAAACCGACCCGCAGCCCCCGGGACTCACACACCACATACTATACCCTCTCCACGATGTGCATTCAATCACAACAAATCATAAGAAGCATATTTTCTCCAGCAGCTCAAGGCCAGACATCACAAACCGCTGCTCCCGGGGGGGGGGGGGGGGGGGGGGGGGGGCTGGAGACCCTCCGCACTGCGCTCATCACGGGCCGTAATTCATAACACACAGGCTTCACGGAGCGCAGGACGACAGCCCGTCTCCCGGCTCCATAAAAACCCCACCACGCATTCGACAACAGAACAACACGCCTCGTTAAAGAGCGACGTGGGAAAGGACGAGAACCGGCGGGTCCACGCGGTGGCCCACACATGTGGTGGATCTTTAGAGGGGCACCTGCGCTGCGATTATTCACCCAATAATCTTTTACACACTCCCCGCAGGCTTTCATCCGGCTGTGTAAAACACGAGCGGCGCTGGCAGGAGAGGGAACCGTAAACATGAAGCGGCAGACGGCGTGAGAGCAGGGCTGAGGGCGGAGGAAGACCGAGGAGGTGGAGGCGGAGTGTCTCCAGACTGTCGAGGTTGTCAGCGTTCATTTTAAATGTAAACTATTCTATTTGAGTCTTTGTGATGTTTCCTGTCAGCTTTAGTGAATCTGTAGCTCCTATCAAGAAACTGCCGCTTCTGCCCGGTGTGTTGTTACTAATCACGTGTCCAGTGTTGTGACGAGCCTCTCCTCATCCTCCACAACCACGAAGACTACTTCAACCTCAGCTGTAACTCATTCTGTGTGTGCGTGTGCGTGTATGTGTGTGTGCGTGTGTGTGTGTGCGTGTGTGTGTGTGCCAGGAGTTTGTCAGTTCATCTGAACTCAGACCCATTGTTCAAACTGTGCTTTCTTCTTTCATTAAAACTTCATGGAAGCAAAGAAACGCATTACTTTTTTACATTGTTTTAATTAAACCGCCTCTGAATTCTTAATATTCAAATAATTCAATTCCCACAGACTTTTATAGTATTTAAGTGTTTTACTTTGAAATCCATCTGTCTGACTTCATGTGGTTTAAATTCCCTTAGTTGGAATTTCCTGAAGGTTGTTTCAAGTGGTGCACATAATAATAATAATAATAATAATAATAATAATGATAAGATTATAAATAATTCATTATAAAATAACAGTTGCTTTAAACTACATCAAAATAAAATAAACACCAAAATAAAATTCACGATGAAAAATTCAAACCTGAACATCTGGGTCACTGAGGATGATCAATTGAGCCTGAGGGAATCGATCAGCACGTACCATGAAGTCTCTCTCTCTCTCTCTCTCTCTCTCTCTCTCTCTCTAACTATCAAAATAAAGGCAAAAAAATGCCCAAAAATATAACTAATCAGTATCAGTAGGTAATCAGTATCAGCAGCAACAGTATGACATGTTCAGACTGTAACAGCAGGAACTTTAACCAGAGTGAACCATGAGGCCGAGCAGTTTAACTCACACACAGGACAACAGACTCTCACTAACAACAGACACGTAATGACAGAATGTAAATACTTTGAATTTAAAGTCGCATTTAGGTCACACAGTCTCTCCTTCCTGAGTTACAGCATTAAATAACGACCAGAGGTGTTTTTACAGAACATTATGATGTCACAGTGAAGTTGACCCTTGACCTTTTGGATATAAAATGTCATCTCTTCATTTTATCCTTATAGACATTCGAGTTAAATTGTGTCATAATTAGTGAATGAATTTTGGCTGAAAATGTGTTTTGTGAGGTCACAGTGACCTTTAACTTTGACCTTTTCCCACCAAATTCTAATCAGTTCATCCTTCAGTCCAAGTGAATTTTTGTGCCAAATTTCAAAAAGTTCCATCAAGGTGTTACGGAGATATCGCCTTCACAAGAATGGGACGGACAACCCGAAAACATGGTGCCTGATCAGGACACTTCTTTGCTTCCATAGAGTTTTAGATTGTGAAGCAGCTCAGCTGTGAAACCACAGTCGTCTCATTAACAAGACTTCAGTACAAGAAAGCTGAACGTTAATGAAATTAAAATTAAGAAATATAAAAGAAGCTGGAGGTTGAGTTTTGATGTGAATGAGCCTGAAGCCTCCAGGAGCAGGACAGTGAACACATCGTCTGCAGAGACGCTGGAGAGGAAAATCTGGATCTCTCCCTGTGTGGATGAATTCAGTGTCCCATTAAAAATCTGTCTCACACACACACACACACACACACACACACACACACACACACACACACACACACACACAGTATACACACCCTGTACAGACGTCTTTGTTGTGCTGGGAGCTGAAACGTTACCCTCCCATGATGCTGCTCTGCTCTGCGGACGTTTCAATCCCGACTACAACTGACAGCACGGCCGCTGCTTCACACGTGAGCCTAATAAAATCCTTTTCCCCCTCGACTCTGGAGATTAATCTGCCTTTCTCTGCTGTCTCCTCTCACTGTGTCTCTCCTTTATCAACACACACACACACACACATTAGTGGAGAGGAGGCATTTTGGTGACATGAAGCAGGAGGTTTAATGATTCGGGGAACCAGTGTGACAGAATTGCAGGAGGGCGGGATAATGGGCTGTCAAGCTGAGACTGTGTCCTTTAGAAGAGACACAGGAAGGAGACGCTGAGTTCCAGACGTCCCAATTAAAGAAGCTAAAACTATCATCAAATACAGTTTTTCATCTGGGTCTATTTCCAGGTGTGAGGCAGGCACATGTGGTCTTTTTATAACCCGTCACACACACAGCCACATTCGCCCCGTGATCCTAATCACAACCATCCAAGCGTTTAATAAAAATCATAGAAAAGGAGGCGTTTTATTGGACTGCGCCGCACTGTAGGTGCCTCCTTATTAAAGGAGGAGAAACTCACATCTGTGTGTTTGGAATTCCATTAAAATGCCAGACGTGAAACAGACGTGGACGGCGGCCATGTGACCGTTCACCCAGCTGTCAACACATCAAGAAAATATGAACACGAAGATGATGATGATGATGATGACCGTTGTGCTGGAATTCTTACACAATTAGATTATGGCTTCACTGTTTTTCAAATCTGACTTAAAGCAATAATCAAGTGTTCGTTGGAGCATCAGAACAGTTTCTCCTCCTCTTCATAAAGGACTTTAATGTAAGTGAAGGGGATAAAATGATGTTAATAATCTTCTACATACAGTCATTTTAAACACTTTTATCTGCTTACAGTGACATTATAGTGTGTTATCAATCATTTATTAAATACATGTATACTTTATTACTTTTAATTACTTAAAGGAGCTATGTAAGTTTTTGCTATTGCTACATAGCTAACGTTAGCATTAACAGCTGTTTACTTGACAGTGTAGAAGTAATGTTGTGACTTCAGCATCAAACTTCATTTGTTTACTCACCAACATCTGTCTCCAGAGGTGGAAACAAGCACTTTTGTTTGGCTTCTATTTCTATCACGTCTTTTCTTCCTCTGAAGTTAGCATGCTAACCAGCTAGCTGCAGCCTGGTCAGTCCGCCTTGTCACTTTCTGATACCGAGTCACTGAAGAAGTAGCTGCTCCGAGGACGTATTATAACCTTTTGTATTGTGAACGCAATGGTGGCTAAAGCTGCTACATAGCTAACATTAGCAACAGCTGTTTACTTACCAGTCAAGAACAAACAGTAAAAGGTTACCAATAAATAAAAAACATAAATATACAAATTACAAATGACAAACACAGAAATAAATGAAGTTGACAGAGAAAACAAAATCTCTCATACACATTTTTTTCAAACCCTAATGGTTTGCTTCTATTGAAGTTAGCATGCCAACCAGCTAGCCGCGACCTGGTCAGACTGTCTCGTTACTTTCCAATACAGTCACTGAAGAAGTAACTGCTTACAGGACGTTGCACCTTTTGTATTGTAAGCTGCTAAATAGCTAACGTTAGCAACAGCTAACAATAAAACAGAAACAATAAAGGGTTACCAATAAATCAAACACAGAAATTTATACAATTACAATAACAAATGACAAAGCCATAAATAAACATTAACAGAGAAAATTCTACATGTATTTTAGTGCAGGAGGAAAGTAGGAGTATGAGTTCAGAGCGACTGGGTTTGAAGTTGAGGTGTGTGTTTATGCTCCAGTGTCAGGTTTTAGGAAAATGTAGGTCATGATGTGTGTTTTGCTGACAATGTTTGGGAGCAAACAGATCTGTTGGAAAGTGTTTTTATGGACCTCAGCAACCGCAGGGAAATATTTATTTTACACCACTTACTCACTCGTTTCCCCCCGTTCACATTTCTCTTCTTCTGACTTGATTTTTTTTTCCACTGCATGAAGTTTTTTTGTTGTTGTTGTTGAAACTTTTCAGGTTGAGGATATTGATTTTTATATTTTATTTATTTATTTATTTTCTTCATAATTATCAGTGTCTTTATTCACCCTATATATATATATATATATATATATTAGTCCTATTAGAAGAAATAGAAAAGTGCCTCTGTGAAGTCCAGGCAGCTGCTGCCCTCTGCTGACAGATCCACACACCTGCAGCTGGGGTTCATACCTGTGTCTATACACAGTGAGGACAAAGACAGCAGGTACAGAGGTGCAGTCTCCACGCACTCATCACACTGTGTTCTGTCGTGTGTTCTGTCATGTGTTGTGTGTTGTGTGTTCTGTTGTGTGTTCTGTCGTGTGTTGTGTTGTGTGTTCTGTTGTGTGTTCTGTCGTGTGTTCTGTTGTATGTTCTGTCGTGTGTTGTGTGGTCTGTTGTGTGTTATGTTCTGTCTTCTGTTGTGTGTTGTCCTGTGTTCTGTCGTGTGTTCTGTCATGTGTTGTGTGTTGTGTGTTCTGTTGTGTGTTCTGTCGTGTGTTGTGTTGTGTGTTCTGTTGTGTGTTCTGTCGTGTGTTCTGTTGTATGTTCTGTCGTGTGTTGTGTGTTCTGTTGTGTGTTCTGTTGTGTGTTCTGTTGTGTGTTGTCATGTGTTCTGTCGTGTGTTCTGTCATGTGTCGTGTGTTGTGTGCTCTGTTGTGTGTTCTGTTGTGTGTTGTGTTGTGTGTTCTATCATGTATTGTGTGTTCTGTTGGGTGTTCTGTCATGTGATGTGTGTTCTGTAGAGTGTCGTGTGTTCTATCGTGTGTTGTGTGTCCTGTTGTGTGTTCTGCTGTGTGTTCTGTCGTGGGTTCTGTCATGTGTCGTGTGTTGTGCTCCGTCGTGTGTTCTGTCATGTGATGTGTGTTCTGTAGAGTGTCGTGTGTTCTATCGTGTGTTGTGTGTCCTGTTGTGTGTTCTGCTGTGTGTTCTGTCGTGGGTTCTGTCATGTGTCGTGTGTTGTGCTCCGTCGTGTGTTCTGTCATGTGATGTGTGTTCTGTAGAGTGTCGTGTGTTCTATCGTGTGTTGTGTGTCCTGTTGTGTGTTCTGCTGTGTGTTCTGTCGTGGGTTCTGTCATGTGTCGTGTGTTGTGCTCCGTCGTGTGTTCTGTCATGTGATGTGTGTTCTGTAGAGTGTCGTGTGTTCTATCGTGTGTTGTGTGTCCTGTTGTGTGTTCTGCTGTGTGTTCTGTCGTGGGTTCTGTCATGTGTCGTGTGTTGTGCTCCGTCGTGTGTTCTGTCATGTGATGTGTGTTCTGTAGAGTGTCGTGTGTTCTATCGTGTGTTGTGTGTCCTGTTGTGTGTTCTGCTGTGTGTTCTGTCGTGGGTTCTGTCATGTGTCGTGTGTTGTGCTCCGTCGTGTGTTCTGTCATGTGTCGTGTGTTGTGCTCCGTCGTGTGTTCTGTCATGTGTTCTGTCGTGTGTTCTGTTGTGTGTTGTGTGTTCTGTTGTGTGTCGTGTGTTCTGTTGTATGTTGTGTGTTCTGTTGTGTGTTCTGTCATGTGTTGTGTGTTCTGTTGTGTGTTCTGTCGTGTGTTCTGTTGTGTGTTCTGTCGTGTGTTGTGTGTTCTGTTGTGTGTTCTGTCGTGTGTTGTGTTGCGTGTTCTGTTGTGTGTTCTGTCATGTGTTGTGTGTTCTGTTGTGTGTTCTGTCGTGTGTTCTGTTGTGTGTTCTGTCGTGTGTTGTGTGTTCTGTTGTGTGTTCTGTCATGTGTTGTGTGTTCTGTTGTGTGTTCTGTCGTCTGTCCTGCTGAGTCTTGGATCAAACTGAATACAGACACCTTTATGTGTTCTCATGTCGCTCTGTAGCTATTCTAGACTCCAAACTTCACCTCCCACACACGTCGTCATGGAGACGTCTGCAGCCTCCATCTCGTCTCTGTCGTGCTCCCTCACCTGTCCAACAGTTTCCCTCTGCGTCATTATCTCATCAGCCAATGGGAGCGGCTGTCAGCCTGCACAGGTGATATATGTGAGGTGTAGGCTTGATAACACAGCAGCACCGTCTTATAACACTACAGACAGATGGATGGATGGCCATTATTTATTTGAGCACATAACATTAAAGTAATAATCTGAACAAGCACGGGACAATAATGATGAGGACAGATTTTTTTTCGTGTCATGATCAAAATGATTCAATTTCAATTTGTTGGAGGATGAAATGTTGTTTTACGTAGCGATGAACTGTATATGAAGACACGGTTGACTTGTGTATGTGATGAAGGTTGATATTGGTTTGTGAAATCATAATAAAATCTTACCCACAAACAAAAAAGACAGAATATAAAATTATGATGTATGATGTAACAGAAACCATATTCAGATGTATGTATCTCCTCACTTCTTAATGCAAAGTCAGGTGTGTGGTGTACAGAGCTCTGTGGCGCCCTCCAGAGGCAGGAGTTGGAACAGGTCATGTCCAGGGAGTGAAGGGAGCCTGTGTTCATCATGTGTGGATATCTTATTACTTACATCTCTAATGTTTGTGCATCACAGAAACTATATTTGAATACATCTCAATACATTACAGCCATTTGCCAAATAAGTATAAACATAAACTCATAAAAGAAACGAATAAACTAAACACAGAATACAAAGTTCAAACTGGATATATATACATGTAACATATGGGAGTTTCCTCACATTCTTACTGATATAATTCATGTGTAGTTACGGTGTCTGAGAGGATCAGAGAATGTCACTCTGCTCCTCTCTGATAGTTCCTGTCCTAATCACCCACACCTGGTTTCTCAACCAGACAAAGTTTATTTCAAGACGTAGACAGTTCCTTTTTTATGACGAGTTCACTGACTGGTCATGTAGAGTTTCTTTTCCTTAGGGTAATCGTTTTTATAAAATCATAAAGTATTATAATGTTTCCAACAGCTCCCACAGGTCTGACTCTGCAGCTCAGCCTCTTTACACGTCTCCGTTTGATAATTATATCGACCTAGCTGTCCCACCTGATCCTGCACTGTCTCACTGCTTTGTCTCCAACCAGCAGGATGACAACAGCTGTGTGAGAGATGCACGTGCAAAGATGAGCTCCTGTGACCGACCGATCGACCACAGGAGGGCGACAGAAACTAAAGAATACAGACATGGATCCAGTCCAGGAGGATGTTACACTGTAAAATAATAATGTCAGTCAAGTGCAAAGCCTTTGACTTATTGTCTGCAGACTGTAAAAGCAAGTGACTGTGTTCTGTTGTGAAATAGATATAGATCAGATAGAACAGATCAAATGAATCCAGATTGAATCTTCCATCAGATTGCAGAGATTTTGTTTCCCAAGCGACAATATCATCATTATCATTATCATTATTATTATTACTATCATTACTATATTTGTGTTGAATTGGGTGTGAGGCTGCGGCTGTAACATAATTCTGTCATGCCTGTTGTTCTGGCATCAAACTTGCAGATGTTCTTCTTATGAAACTTTATCCACTCCATCTTTATTGTGCTGGCCTGTTCTCTGACGCCGGGACGCACAGGGGCTTTTCCTGGCAGAGAAGAAGAAGATGGAGGCGATAGCGTCATGATTTATAAGATTTACAGCCGCTGATCAAAGTTAGGTCCCTCGGTGCACGCAGCCGACATGCAGCAGCTTCCAGTGATAAGAGGGAGACCTTGAGTCCGGAGCGAAGTCCGCGCCCTGAACTCTGCAGAGCTGCATGGAAATCAGGTTTTTAAAAAAAGGAAAAAGTACTCGTCCCTCCAGGTTCATTGCACCTCATTATAATCCTCCGCGTCCACAAGGCAGTGCGCTGCTCTACTATGGGTGGGCGGAGCCTGCAGGGAGGGGGCCTGGCCGGAGCCTTTTAATACAGATGCGCTCCTCTGTGCGCCCTGCGTTCAGCGGCGAGCGGACACGGCAGAGCAGACGGCACCATGACTGCACCCAGCAACACCTACGATGCGATAGTGATCGGCGGAGGAATATCAGGTAGGAGCACCGCCACTAAACTTTCTTCTTCTTCTTTTTTTTGTTTTTGCTCTGCGGTTTAAACGGAGACAAAGTGAAGAGGAAGGGGTTGAATCGGCGCCGCCTGCAGCTCCCGCAGCTCCCGCAGCTCCCGCAGCTCCTGCAGCGGGCTGATGAGGTCTGACGCGCCGTGTGTGAAGGTGAACACACAACTGTTGCACACAAACAACCCGCCGGTGTGTCGGGGCGGAGGAGGTGGTCCAGATCCAGATCCGGATCCGGATCCGGATCCGGACTCAGTGCTCAGCTCACACTTTCATTTGGCTGGATGCGGCTGTTTCTTCTTCACCGTGTTCTCCGCCTTTACGTCTCTTCCGTGAGGCTGCCCCCCCCCCCCCATCGGCCCCCCTCCCACCGCTGCATTCCACAGCCGCGCCTGTTAAAGTAAAAGCTAATCAGCCAGAGCATACTTTGTATTACATAAGAGGAAGCTGGGGGGGGGGGGGGGGGTCATAAATGATTATTAGATGCATCCATCAGGCTGACGTGACCCCACCTGACATAAATGTTGCCTCCTTGATTTGATTTTGTGTGTGTGTGTTTGTGTGAGCCAATCAGAGACCAGGTATGATCACACCTGAGTAGCTGATGAGTCTTGTTGTGCTTTCTGGTTTCTTGTGGAAATACCAGAGATTCTGCAGCTTCCTGTGAAGCCGAGCGTCTCATTAGGGACGACTTTATTTTCCTGTGATGACGGGTGTGTGTGTGTGTGTGTGTGTGTGTGTGTGTGTGTGTGTGTGTGTGTGTGTGGGGGGGATGTATTTGGGAATGGGAACAGAAATGTGTTTTATTTTGGCGGTCTGCGGCATCACAGTCTGTCATTGTGCACCGTCAGTCATGCAGATCGCCACAGATCTGTGCGGTCTCATTAGAGCAGGACGTCGTGTTGACAAAAACAAGTTGATGATCTTCTGGTTGGAGCAGAGGAGTGATGAGAGGACAGAGGTGGAGGTTCGTCATGTGACTGAGTCTGCAGCTGCAGGTGAGCAGTCACACTGTTAGGATTTATATGAGTGAAGGTGACCCCCCCCCTCCACCCTGACCTGACCTCTGTCCGTCTGAGAGGCTGACAGGTCGATGGAGCGCTCGCCGCCTGTCGACTGAAGAATTTAGGTCAGTGTCAGTTCAAATAGCATCAAAGCCCAAAACAAACGCTTCAGAAGAAAGTTAATGTAATAACACTGACAGCCCCCCCCACCGCTGGCTTTCTCCCACCTCCCATGTGTCACATTCGAGTCTCGTAATTACACCATTTGTTTATCCCGCTGCCCTTTACCGCCTCGCAATGAGGTCCACATATAACAATCAGTGTCCGATCAGAGGAGGAGGAGGAGGCTGCGTCTCCCTCCTCTGATGTGTGTTTCTTCTTCTTCTCTCTGCAAATGCAATTGTCAGTTTCCTGCCTGCCAGCCACCCAGCAGCAGGACTGCACCCCCCGCCCCCCCCCCCCCCCCCGCGCCCCTCCCACCCTGAGGGGCAACCAGCACTTTCTGAGAAAACATTAAACACTTGTGACAGCCTGTTATCAAACCAGCAGCAGCAGAGAGGATGCTGAGGAGGAGGAGGAGGAGAGGAAAACAGGAATAACAGGGAAGCGAAGGAGGGAACCACTTCCTCTTGTTTTGTCTGAGCAGCTGAGAATGTGAGAAATGTAAAGAGAGAAAGAAATGAGGAGTGAATCAGAAAGATCTGAGACCTGAGGGAGGCAGAAAAAGGGAAACAAGAATTTGAACAGGGAACTGGACGCAGACAAGAAGTGAGAGGTGAAAATCAAAATCAGTCTGATGCAGTTTGCCCTCATGAACTGTGCAGTGGATGATTTAGAGAACCGAGCCGGGGGCTGTAAACTGCTGGGATCCTCTCAGACCTTCAGTCGGAGCAGGGAAGTTAAATGAGGATATTCTCCACGTCTGCTTCGCCAGATGACTGAGAACAGGAGCACAGACTGAACTAGATAAAGGAATATTATGGGGGTTTTTTGTTGTTGTTGTAACTAGTTGTCGTGGTCGTGACCATCGGTTCTGTTGGTAACGAGAACAGGAGGTGAAACCAGAAGTAAGAAAACCTCATGCAGCTGTAAATACACTGAAAACTAACAGTCCAGCGACTTTACAGAGACTTCATCAACACTTTGTCATGTGACTCGTTTCATGAGTTTAGAGAAGGACTGTAGATGTCGAATGTTGTAGTTGTTTATCCAGTAATATCTTTCGTGGCCTTTAATGAACACCATTTCCCATAAGCCCTAGCTGTTTGCGGGCTAAACCTCACGTTACAGATCACAGACAGAAATGAGCGCCGGGGAGTTTTATGGATTTGAAAACTGAAGTTTAAAAAGTTACGGTGACGTTTTTCATGGGAGCTTGTGTTTGAATATGAAAAGTGAACTCCAGGAAGTCGACATCAGGACTTCAGCTCCATGGCAACATGGTTAAATACAGGACTAACGGGATGAGCAGTCAGGTGATCAGACCTGGATTACTTTGTTCTGATATAAAACCAGAGTGCGCGCACCTGTAGTGTTTATAATAATCCCTCATTGCACACGACTACAGCAGGTACAGCAGCTCTAAGATGACACGGGATGTTCACAAGAAACCGTTTGAATCATCATTTCCGTTTGTTTTTCCCTCCAGACAAGTTTGTCTGTTTGTCTAACACTTGTCAATCGGCTTAAACCTGTTTGTGGCCGTGTTTGACTGTTTCTAGTGACGTCGATGGCAGCTACTGTTTCAGTCAGTGTTCATCACATCTGATGGGACGGATTTTCAGAGCAATAGAAATGAAACCCGAGTTGTAATGAACCAGAGTTTTCCTTTAAGCGCAGCAGGTAGCAGACAGCAGACAGCAGACAGCAGACAGCAGACAGCAGGCGTCTGGGAGGTGCAGCGGCAGGAATGCGTCCGTTTACACACATGAACACTGGGAACCAGGTCAGTGGCGTGTGCGTGACGAGGCCTGTCAGAGCGGCACTCGCACTGAAAACAATGTGTGTGGGGTCTATGACGTGCACACTGTTTATTCAGTGATGTTTACATGATTAAAATAAATCGTATTTATATTTGTCAGAGCTTCGCACGGACATGAAGGAGACAGGTTGGACCCGCTGCTGGTCTGGTGTTTGGTTCAGCTGTGAGCTGCACGTGTTAGCACCTTCATTAAACTTGGAGTGATGAACCTCCAGAGAAGCTGCAGCTCCTCTCGGCTTCATGCAGCTCATTGTTCATCTGTGCGGGCTCCAGGTAATGAATGTTTGTCTCTGCAAGGTCCCTGAAACGCTGCTGACCACGTTTTATTTTGAAAACTCGGGGGTTGTGTTGTAGTCTGGACACCCACGGTCTCTCCTGATTGGCCCTCATCAGCCTGGACTACCAGTGGTGAATACAACATGATAATGAATCACAGGGTCGCTGACCTTGTTGTCTTTGCTAGCAGCTGCTGGTCACTTACACTCTGTATTTAAACTCTGGAGCTGTCCCGATGTGCTTCACTGTTGTTGTAAAAGAGTGCTGGTATTCAGAGAGCTGGGGAACAGCCAAGGACGGCAGCTCTCCAGACCGACGTTAGCACCAGCACACACACATTATGCACTCTCTAATAATAACATTAATGTGTGTGCGAGCGGAGCTGCAAGTCCACACAAACAACGACACCGTCGCCTCTTGAATCAGAACTTCACTCTTCACATCTTCCTCTTCGAGTCTTTAAAGCTGCAGGACTTTTCAGTCCCTTCCAACCTGTCAGGTGCAGCTGTAGATACACTGTCGGCCTTCATGTCAGGTCTGAACGATCCCTGGGCAGCAGCAACCCTGAACCTCGTCTGACAGCCGCACTCATTTCCATCAACACAGACTCAATCCCAGAACGCCACTTTCTCTGTCCAGCTGTGCAAACAAAAGAACGTGTTGGCTGAGCCGCCACATATAATCATTAGACGGACAGCTCGTGTGTGTGTGTGCGTGTGTGTCCACATGCGTGCCCGTGCCTCTGTGTTTGTCTTTGCGTGTGCTAGGTAAAGGCGTGAGACGTGTGCAGCTGTAATCTCAGCTGTGTTCATTTCATAAATGATGACACTGATTGTGAGAGAAGCAGCATGAAGCCGATGGATGTTTGCGCGACTGGAAGAGTCGCCGTCTCCACCTGTGGTTCACTGAGCGAGGGATCTGAGGCAGGTGTGTTTGTCGGGCAGATTGCGTCTCCTTTGTGTTCACTGTGTTCACTGTGTTCACTCAGTACACTCTGTCCTGACATCTAGTCATTTAAAGGAATACTTATTTGCTTTCTCTGTCAGGTACCGACAGCCACACCTTTCCAGGAAGTCCTCTCCGCCACCCCACCCTCTTCCTGCCTCGACCTCCTTAAACACTGCTCCGCCTGATGTCTGACGTCTGTGCTGCTTTAAAGTCTCTTGTTGGAGGGTGATTGATCAGTTTGTGGCCTCAGGTGGAGGGAGATGAGTTTCACTCTTGTTGGATGTAACTTCTGTGATATTTCTGTCTCCGGTGATTGAAAACTTCAAGTCAGCGCCGTCCTTAAAACTGATGACATCGTCTCAAACGCTCGTCATACAACAGGAAGTTATGAACTTTAAATGTTCTGCGTCATCACTCAGAGATGAACTCCATATGCAATCCAGAGAACTCCTTCTACCTTAAACAAACTTATCAATCACTCCTCGTTAATTATCCACCGTCTCTCTTGTCTTTTGTTTTTTTTTCTCACATCAGCCGCACTCACCTGAAATTAGAGAATTAAGAAGAGAATTAATCAACAACTATTCACTGTAACAGTCAGCCAATCAGAAGAGAGACCCAGAGTCTCCTCTCTTCTGATTGGCTCACAGACCTGTTGTTACTAGAGCTGCAGAGAGAAGCCTGAGAGAGGAGATGTGAAACTACACTGAGATGATGAAGCTACAGCCAGCAGCTGGCTAACTTAGCTTAGCATGACTGGAAAGCCTG